CAAGTCAGGTGGTGTCAGTGAATCGGCCAAAATTCAAGCTGTGCATGATCAAGTGGCGGGTGCTAAAACTCTGTAACTCCTATGTGCATGAGCTACATTAACAGTAGCCAACCAGTGGCTTAGGGTAGAAGACTCCAGACCAAGACCAGGAGAAGATGGCAGTGATGGTGACAGAGCAATGAGGAAGCTCAGAACTTCCATAGCTGGAGGCACACGCAAGAGGTAAGTCTGCGATACTTGCACATTATGGTAAGAGCTCTAGGAACTTCATGTGGATATAGTTCAACTTTAACATGGAACTCCACCAGCATTTACAATTTTGTAGGATTTTTATAGCTGTATCACTGTTGTAAAGATTTCCTCTACCATTCTGTTTTAGTGACCATACAGAAAAAGAAGGGAGCTCCTTAGCAGTAACACAGGCACCAATAAAAACCTAACAGAGGTTATACACTTTTATAGCAAAGTGTTTTATTTGCTGCCTGTGACCTTGGAGAGAGTCTGCACAATTTTGTCCTGGTGACCACACAGGAAATGAGGGAAAATCTGCCAAACGGGGAGACAGATTAAAATAATTGTCACTGTATCTGACCTTTGCTCCTCTATTAAAAGATTGTAAGTTATTTCTTTACAGTCTTTCAATATATTTTTTATTTCATAATAACGACAATATGAACGTGCCAATTTTTCTATTTGCTCAAACAACAAATAAAACTAACTTCAGCTAGCTTGTACCTGTTCATCAAGTTACCAAATTACAACTGTTTTGCTTCCATTGATAATTAATTAAGATATTTTTGGATATCATGTATGAAAGGCATAGTATTATGTTATAAATTAACATGACCTCTAGTAATTTTCTAAGCTGCCATGACTTCTACTGCTGTAACTCATTGTTTAAATACCAATGCTAAATAAAGATGCCGGTTTTCTAGAAGTGACAGCAAGGAAAATGATGGCATGTAACAAATGTTGGTGCATCACTTTAAACACGTTTAAACACGTTAAATAAAATTACATACAGTTGTACCAATGTGTTGCCGATATGCATATGTTGCCAAGCATCCCACTGCTTTTCCATATCGTTCTTTACTTTGATAATGTCTAGGGCTAGGCTCATAATTTCACTTTTCTTTAAAGCAGACCTTGCAGGACAAATAAACCAGTGTCCATCTGCACGTCCCTGCCCCCATTCTAAAAGTTACTTACTTTGAATCCCAGCCTCATTACAGCCCCCTTGGAAATAAGATGATTCCATTACTGTGAGAATTTTCTCCTGCACTGTACAGACCCAAATTCCGATTAGACTTAAAATCCTCAGCTTCCCCAGGAGTGACATCACCAGTACCTAGAGTAACAAACAAGCATAAGTAGTCTAAGGGTCTCAATGACCGCTCACATAGAGGCATAACTAGAAACTTCAGGGCCCCAGTGCAAGAAACTATGAAGGGCCCCCCAACCTCCCACCGCTATGGGAAGGCACTATAAACAGGCACCATGTGGTTAACAGAAAGACTGTCGAGGTCCCCAACAAGCGCAGGACCTCAGGCAGCTTCAGTTTAAAAAATGTAGTGCCGGTGTTCTGTCGAGAACGCCGACCCAGTATCTGCGCTTACGTACAGACGGGATTAACGAAGAAACAGGCATTTATTTTCTAAATATTAGTGTGTAATTGTCAATTGTGACCGTTAATAATATGCCATCCATGGCAGTAAATGATGGATGGCATATTATTAACGGTCACAAGTAATGATTTAAACTACTTTGTCAATAAATGCCTGTTTCCACGATAATACTCGTCTGTGCATAAGTGCAGATGCTGAGGTCGGCAAATTAGACTAAGTCGGCGTTCTCGACAGAACACCAGTATCTGTGCTCATCATTGGGGCATTTTCACTAGTACTCGTGAAAATGCCCAGTACTGGCAAAGGTGCATCCCTACTTAATAAAATAATGTATTGCTGGGACTTGTAGTCCTGCATAGTTGATGCTATTCTGCATTGCTGTATAATCATTATACAGCAGTGCAGAATACCATCAGCTGTGCAGGACTACAAGTCCCAGCAATACATTATAATGAAAATCCGAAATGCTTCTCCCCCACGCGCCCCCCTTCCCGGTCCAGCCTTCACCAGACATACCTTACCTCTCCTGCAGCACCTTCTTCCATGTCTCAGCGGGCAGGGGGTGGGACTAAGCTGAGAGGGTCCTCTCCCACACAGAAGAATGTGCTGCCTGACGATGCTTGCAGCACATTCTGCTGGACAGGTGACTGATCACCTGTCCAGCCTTTCCATCCCCACCCCACAGCCGTCCGTACATGTCCCGCTTCTACTGCTGCGGGTGGCAGAGTGGTGGGGAAGCAGCGGCACTATCGGGGGGGGGGCCCTCTTCTTCCTCTCTTGCCCCCCCAACAGGCGGAACGCCAGGGCCTGGTCGCAATTGCGACCGCTGCGACCCTGGTACTTCCGCAAGTGTCCATATACACAGTACCAGGCTGCAAGGCCGTGTACAATGGAGATCAGCTGCAGCAGGGGGGGAAAGGTGGCTCCCCCAGAGGCATGACTACTGGGGGGAGGGCAGAGGGGACCAATTTGTGGGGGTAATTTCAGTTTCCTACATTTGCTGGAAAACTGGGATTACCCTTTAAGTAACATTTCCCATAATAATTAATGTAGCCAAAGCTTGTTTTTTTGAGTTTTGGATAGAGTAGAGTTAAGAAACATTTTACTGTTGTCTAAAGCTCTACTAGCTAGATTCACCCTTTGTCTAGGTGACCATTGCCACTGAGACAGAAAGTGATGGCAAATTCAAATGTTTATAGTTATCACCAGGACAAGTGGTGAAGGGAAATCTTCCACTAGGGGCACCTGTTCTAGTGACTCCTGTTTAAGAGTGGAATTCCCCTCATTTTATAGAGATTTCCTCTGACTTTGTGTTTCATGTATGGGACAGAAAGTGAAGGGAAATGCGGCCAAGTCATCTAAGAACTAGTAAGCTGCAACATTTTACATTTTTGTTTTTAGGTTTAGATATGCTTCAAGTTTGCCTAGATTTTTAGCTTTATATCTTTAATCTCTAGGACTTTAAGAGGCCATCTGAGCTCTGCCTGCATTAGGCTCCACAGAGCAGCTGGTGCCCTCCTGTCATCTGCTTTTAGGGTTCCCTCATGTACACATGCATTTCTCCTTTTTTACTGAGCGCAATTTAATGAATGATAGAGATGCTTTGCACTGCTCTTTGCATTTATAGTTATCCGGTTGGCTGTACAGCATGTGGTATTAGTTATATGACTGATTGGAACATCATTTTAGACATTCCCACTGTGGATACCAAATAGCACATCATCACGGCAGACATTTTCCAGGATGCGGGGAAATCTCTTGCAGCCAGTCTTTGATCCGCACAAAATAAAGGCATATAGCATGCATGCGAGTTACTAATTTGATACACGTATTAACTGTCCTTCCTGTCTACTGAGAACAGGAGTGATTATACACTTTCCTCACAGGTATGATGCAATGGTGCAGTTTCTGCTCCACCTGAGACATACTGGGAAAGGTGTTGGGCTTAGTGGCAAGGAATAGGACTTTATATCACTAGAATGCAGCTAGGTTAATGAAAGGCTATTTGCTATATCATTTGTGCTTAGGAGTCTAGCTCCACCAGGGCGGCCAGGGGCTTCTGTGGAGGAATTACATGGCATGCAATGCAGACATGGGTGAGGTAACAGTAGGACACTTCATCAATATGCCTGTCTGTACAGATGCCTGGATTAATGAAAGGCTGGGTCAGAAGACTAGACATTTTAATGCTCTCTGCATCAAGCGCAACAATCCCTGAGTTACCTGATGCATGGAGATCACATGTTGTGGTGCCATTCATTCAGAACTGCATCCTAACTCACTGTCACAATAGCGGGCAGAGGCCTTTACTGCTGTACACTGCAACACACATTCTGAGCAATACAATAAAAAAGGTACGTGTAGGATTTTTACTGTGTTAAGGTGCAATGCCAGCCCACTCAAAATAAGCATACCACATGTAATGCAGGAGCATTATTTGCCAGGCATATTGTGAAGAGGGCCAAATGGCTGACAAATATTGCTGTTACCTACAAGATTTGTCCATTTGCAGCTGGCAATTATCCATTCTGTGTACAACCTTTCACTGGCCATACATGGATAGAATCTCGACCGATATCTTCTGAATGCTAACCGTGGGTGCACCAAACGCCAAACAAATGTTGATTTTTCAACCTGCAGTCACTGTGCGGGTATTCTTAGAGCCACAGGCTCTGACTGCCAGAATACAATAGCCCAGCAGAAAAGATTTGTCTGTCCATGCTGTCTAGCATGAACGGGGGAATCAAGCATTTTCTTTCTCTTTCATCCCTTGAGGTTGAACAGAAACGTGTAAAGGGTATGGCGAGTTTGAAAAAAGACAAAATACAAGACAAAATTAATTCATAGGTATTGATGTCTGGGCTACAGAGACAGCTTAGTCAAAATGATTTACAACCCTTTTCTAATACACACATTTTTCTAAATCATAGCAGGAACTGGTCACGACAACTTTTTCCAAACTCTACAAAAGTTTTTCAGGTCGCTCCATCAAACTCAGAAAAGTTAAGCAAACTCATTAGTGGCTTTATTTTAAGAATAACATCTTTCCCTTTTTCATTCACTCAGTGACCGAAGTACACAGAATGCAGCCTTCTCCTTTCACAATCGATACTTCTATTAAGGTGCACAAGTGAACACAGCTGTCACTATAAGTTTACACTTATCTGTAACTGAAGAAAACACAAATCAGCACACATTTTCGGGATCTAATAAAGCCACAAAGCACAAATAGTCACAGACACATTAGACAGCAAATGAATGAAAATGCTTGTCAAGCCATCGTAAAAAGCAAATTTGTATATCGATCTAGGCTGCTGCATGCTGCCTGAGCCTAATAAACTGATGCTTTAGAAATAGAGAAGAACAGTTTGTTACCCTCCATCTGCCCGGCAGTGTGAATATTCTGGCTGTTGCTCATTGATGTCCCTGGTCGCTGAAGGTGACTTTTTTGCTTGCTTCGCCTAAGGGCTCCCCAAATGATATCCCTGGGGAAATCAGTGCGGGTGCTCCCTGCAAAAGTGAATAATTTACAGGTGTCTGGTGTCACTGTCCCCTCTCTCCACCCTGGCTTTGGTCTGTCCTGTGGCTGCAGCTGCTGCCTGGCTGCTTCTCGCCAATAGCAAAGCAGGGCATCTATTAATACAAATACCAGCTGGCCCTTATCCAGTCTGTACAGAATGGAAGGATAAAAAAGTCCAGACCAGATGGCCGAGAGGGAGGGACAGCAATACTTAAAGCTGCAATACACAAACACAGCACTGACCTATGCTGCACTGACAAGCCTTCGTGTTGGGATTCTTTCCAGATAGCTGCCTACAACACTACACAGCAAGCATCTGGAATTTAAAGTTAAACAGCCACTATTGTGAACAATATTGTATTCAGTTAACTGTATGTGAGTCATTTTCAGCACGTAGATTTCTTTTTTTATTTTTAGAATCTTATCACAGACCAAGCCGTCCTGCAGTAGTGACAGACATGACTTTAGATGGACTGTGACACTGCCAGGGTTGCCTAAAGTGACGCTGAACTCAGGAGTTAAATCTTAAAAATACATTCAAGTTCCCTAACTAATTAACAAAAATGTATCTTATTTGTGCATCACTCAGCTGTAGATCCTCAAATCAATTCTGAATTCCTACTGACACTGTACTTTCTTCTGGAGGGTGGCTACTTTTGTTCCCCATGCTCCTTGTGTGTGTTGTAAAGTAGTCACCTCTCCAAGCTTTCTTCTGTGATGGGCAATCTCAGTACAACTCAGTAAAATAAACGTGAGAGAGATTGTTTAAAGCATTTCCCTGCTCCCTTTGGCTCCAAGACCAGTGCCCCTAGCCTCTTCCTCCCACTACTGCAGCGGTCAGAGACTGACACCATCACGTACAATGCAGGGTCCATAGACCTGCATTAAACGTGAGACGTGATTGCTGGCCTCTGGGGGGAGTGGGGATCAGGTAAGTAAATCTGCTTTACAAAATCCCCCTAGACAGAAACGAGCAGTTAACTCTTGCACTGCAGTGGTAGCCCATTACAAGTGGAGATCTTTTTTTTTTGTATCTGGAGATGGGCTTTCAGCTGCCGTACTAACATGCTTTATTTTTAAACTATATGAATAAAAGGTGATTGATAAAACAATGTTATAGTTTGTTCCCACTCTTATCATTTTTGCTGGTCAGCTTGGTCTCCATGTAAATGTGGGAAAAAATATCAATAATTGCATGTGAAATGAAAAAGGGATTCATAAATTGAACACGATTACTACATGTTTTTGCAACGTTCGGTAATACAAATAAAAGCAATGTTTTTCACAGCAGTGGCCATTACATTTTACAACTTATTTTTTTTAAATAAATTAATGTAAAGACTAACAACGATACAATGATGTAACCCACAGCAACCAGTTACATTTCAGATGATATCAGTGACAGATGAACTCTTAATGACTGCAGGGGATTGCTCTTTGCTTTGCTGAATATCCCTGAGGGCCCATACACACCAGCCTGCCATGTGGAGACCTGCGGTGACATGCAGTGTGCTGTGATAAAATGCAGCATGTTTGTATTTTATCTCAGTGCACCGCCCTCTGCGTTGTTGTGTGATTGGGACACATAGAAACCTATTATTTCCTATGTGTTCTAGTGGTGACCTGTGTTGATTCGGTACAGTACAGCACAAGTAACTGTGAAAGGGCCTTAACCACTTGCTGTCTGGAGCAATTTCTTACTATTTGCACACACATGATAAAAATCTGAATTTTAGGCTAGAAAACAGCTTAAAACCCCCAAACATTTATATATTTTCTGAAAGCAGAGGCCCTGTAGAATAAAAAAAAATGCTAGATGAAATGTTTTATGTCGCACAGTATTTGCGCAAATGTTTTTCAAACCAGTATTTATAGGATAAAATACACTAAAATGAAATTAAGTGCACAGAAACAAAATGTAGTACCCAACTTTTGAGAAAAATATAAAAGATGGGGTCACATCGGGTAAATTGATACCAAACATGTCAAGCCTTAAAAATGCGTGCGTCCGTAAAGCCGCAAAAAAAATACAATACCCAAAGTTAGCTAACAAGCCCCCTATGTAATAGCAAAATATGATGTGACAGGTCCTCTTTATTTAGACATCAGGGATCTTTCAGAACCCTAATGTCACCTAGGGACACCAAAGAAGTTGATGAAGCAGCAATCTGCTTCCCCAGTGTATTCTACTGGATCTAGGAGCCGGAGATTGTAAACAGTGACACCAGAAGTGATGTAATACAGATCACTTCCGGGTCCACTGGTCGAAAGAGAGATCATGTGCACTGCACATGCAGAAACTCAGATCATGCATGTGCAGTGTGTTTTGACTAGTTTTTGCTGCATTCCGGTCCTTTTTTTTTTTTATAGCCTAAAATGGGCTTTCAGTGCAATCCAGGGCGTTTGCATGTGTTTTTGATGTTTGCATGCGTTTTGGTTCGTTCCAGAGCAGAAAAAAAGGGCATGCTGCAGTTTTTCCACATGATCTGGAACTGAATGCTGTGGTGTGAACTGGAGCCCAAAATATAATTGGAATACATTGGATGCATGCATTTTTTATGCGTTCTGCTACTGCTCTGCACTGCTCAGTCAGATAAAACTGCTCAGTTTTATCAGCGCTCCCAAAGATCAGTACCTGCCAGCTTTCTCGGATAAGAAAGAGGGACACCAACCAGCACAATGAGGGGAATTGATCAACACCGGAGCAGACAGAAACAGGAGCAGTTGCCTATAGTAACCAATCAGGTTCTATATTTTATTTTCAAAGCTTAACTGAAGAAACTGAATAGAGAAGCTGAATGGTTACTATGGGTAACTGCTCCAGATCCTGGCTGCTCCAGTTTTGATAAATTCCCCCAATGCAATTATGCAATGGACATACCCCTGCCATGCCTGCAGGTATGCAGTCCATTAAGAATGTACAGGTGAAACTCGATGTATTAGAATATCGTGCAAAGTTCATTTATTTCACTAATGCAACTTAAAAGGTGAAACTAATATATGAGATAGACTCATTACATGCAAAGCAAGATAATTCAAGCCGTGATTTGTCATAATTGTGATGATTATGGCTTACAGCTCATGAAAACCCCAAGAACCCCAAATCCACAACCTCAAAAAAGTAGATTATTACATGCAATCAATAAAACAAGGATTGTACATAGAACAATATCGGACCTCTGAAAAGTACAAGCATGCATATGTACTCAGTACTTGGTTTGGGCCCCTTTTGCAGCACTTACTGCAATTACTTTTGCACGATATTCTAATTATTCGAGTTTCACCTGTATATGTCAAAACTAATTGATCAAACTCAGAATTGCTTTATCCACCACAAACAAGAAAATTGCAAGATAAGAATGCAGATTAACACTTTTGGTATAGAACCTTTTCACAGATATCTGTACAGCAGAGCAAAAAGAGGGACAACTGAGGAGGAAAGAGGGACAGAGGGGTTTGGTTTTAAATGAGGGACAGTTGGCAGGTATGCAGATGAACTGAAAATGTGGTGCACGCAGTACCAGCATGTACCACCGAAAGGACTTTTAGAAGCTGGACTCCGAGACCTGAGCAATTAAAGACAGTTAAGTGTTGTTAAAGTGAACTCTTGCCAAGAGTATGCACACATAAGTAGTTACATATTCTGAACAAGCAGTAAAAACACTTTAAAACAAGCTCTTACTTATCTCTGTATATATAAGGTTTGTGGAGAAATTTAAACATGAATTCCACCTTTCATACCATGTTACATGTTACACCCATGTTGAGGGAAGCACCGTATAATATAGTGCCATTCTGCAGCTTGCCATTCTGCAGCTTGCCACTCTCAACCCATCCCCACACTTAACTAAATTGTGAGTTGCATCTACCCACAGGCTTCATCCAGCACATGGCTGGGCAGAAGGTTTTTTTTACATAGAGTTTCTATAAATCAGTTCCTGTCTCTTCTGCAATAAATTATTCTTACCTTCCTCCTCACCAACTTTTTAAACTGCATCCACAGCTCAGTGTACAATTTCAGCATCAGTTGGGATTGTACAATCCCGAAACCAGGAGAAGTTAGCGAGAACATGTTGGCACCAGTGGTGTATTTAGGTTTTGTGCTGCCCTAGGCAAGACTAGACCCGGGCGCCCCCCCCCCCCATATCTAAATTTGCCCCACCCCTTCCTGTTTAAAACATTTTGCATAACCTGTTAGAAGCTGGATACAGCGAGCGTCTGTTTAAATAATAACAGGCGGGCGCTGTATCACTTCTGCCAGCATCGGAAAGAGGAGGCTGCTAAGAATTGACTGGCTGGGCTGGTATCAGCCTGGCAGAGCAGTATACATTGTTGTCAGGGCACCACAGGGATCAAGAGTATGTAACAGAGTGCAGAGGTCGGTGAACAGTGTAGACGGGCGCCATTATTCTGGTGGTCAGTGTGAAGAATGCTCCTTACATGGCTGATCAGTGGAAAGTGAAAATGTCCCCTTAAAGGACAATTTAAACCTTGCGTTTTTTTGCATACTGTATATCTACTGCTAGCAAGAGGTGTATATATAGACCAGCTAGCAAGCAGTAGAAATATGCAAAAACATTAAGAAAAAAAAAGTAACTAAAAGGTTAAAACTTACCTGTGTCTCGGGCAGCCGCAAAGGCTCATGGGGTGGGCGCATGCGCAGTAGAGATCTTTGGCCGGGAGAAGAGAGACACCGGGTAAGTCAATGCACACGTACAGACACCGTGTGCACACAGAAGACACAGCAGTCAGCGCTGGATCATAGGCTGTCACCAGCGCTGGAGAGAAGGCAGAAAACTGCAGGAAAGAAGAAATTGATCGGATCAAGAGGCATCATTTAAGGTAAGTCCTTACACTAACATTGGAAGAGGGGGGGGGATTTTTGACTTTAAAGTGACATTACAGTAAATTATTTTCCCTCCCCCCCCAATGTAAATGTCAGCACTTACCTTAAATGATGTCTCTTAATCCGATCTTCTTCTTCCTTCCCGTCGTTTTCATCTGTCCCTCCAGCGCTGCGGCGGGTCTCCGATCCAGCGCTGACTCCTCTGTGCTTGCTGGCACTTCCTGTCCCACGGTGTCTGCATGCGGGTGCACGCCGTCCATAGACTTACCTTGTGTCTCTCCTCGCGTCCAG